CACACACACACACACACACACACACACACACACACACACACTTCTTCAAGGATACTTTCCCAGGGACTTATGTTTGTTTGTCTGTCTGATTTCAGCCTGATGCAACCTGTGTTGTTGATAATCCTTGTGGACAACAACTTTTGTCTTAAAATGTGCCATCCTTCCTGACTTTTTGCCTTTATACGCTTTCCTTTAACTCAACTTTTCTGAGTCCTCCTGCAATGTGTATGAGGACATGTTCATTTCTAGGGCTGTGCCCTGTAATTCTTAGATAAATACCATTATTCTTTGGAGAAGCTCTTTCTGACTTTTTACTTACTTTTCCTTTCAGTTATATAACTCAGGTAAATAGTATATATCTTGTTGAACAATGTCACCTCTTCCTTTGCTCGCTCCTAATTTTTCCCTCCCAACCCCACCACAAATTATATAATTCATTTTCAACATAGTGTCTAGTGAGCATCACTGCTGCATTTATTCACACATTGTCCCTCTCAAAGACAGATAAACAAATAAACAAGACAAAAGTAAAAGAAAACAAAAACAGCAGCAAAGAAAATAAAACCTTTTGGTTTCATTTCCTGAAATTCATTTGGATAAATAATATCAACCTTTCATTATAAAAGCTTCTCACTGCTCTCCCTGCATCTTTAGCCTGCTTTCCACGTGCCAACACGATGGACATCCAAACACTCTGATAGAATTATGAGATGCTTCCTAGGCCTCTTGATGGTGGCGTTGAAGGCACCAGCAAGAATAGACTTAATATTGCCTCTACAATGAAGCCAATTCTTACTTTGACATATGACCTTCTCAAACTGTCCCAGTAACTCTGACGTTAGCCTCAACATCAGTGAAGTCTTCTTCTCCTCGTGTTGTCTTTCCCACCAGCCACCCTATATATCAGTATCCATCCAACTTTGCACTGCTTCTACAGACCTGACTTTCTCTTGAGAAATGTTTTTTCCACCTGAAAAGTTCTTCCTTCCCTTTTCTGCTACACACAGGGCTAACCAGCCCTGCTTGGCCCAGTTGTACAAGAAGATATTGTTCTTCATTCATATTTCCTTTAAGCATGTGGCATGGCTATATAACAATCGATATGAACAACTGCAAATAGCTTTTCTGCTTACCTGTATGTGTCTTTATTACCAGACTGTGAACATGATGGCCAGAACAATTTATTATATGTTTTTTAAAGAACCATAAAAGTTTAGAGGTACTGAACATGAGGAAAGATTGTTTAAAGAGACAGAAAGGCTAATCATTCAGATTTCATCATTATACCTTATATACTTGTATCAAATTATCACACTGTCCCCTGTAAATGGGCACAATTGAAAAAGTAAAAAAGTAAGTTTGAATGCAAGGAAAGAATCAGGTGACATTTGCCTTTAGGTTTAGTGCAATGCCAAGCACGATGTTAGAATCATTTAAATCAGTAAGGTGAGGTATGGGTATGGAGAGAAGGGAGAAAGTTTCTTTCTTCTACCAAAGTAAGTTTCTTTCAGTGAGTCCTAGGCTTCATTGCTAAGGTTCAGTACTGGGCACTTACAAAGTGTCAGTCTTATCTAAGGATGATGGAAATAGCATCTGCCCCCAGGACCTGACAGAGTAGAAGATGAGGTGAGAGGAGCAAAAATCATTATAGGCTAATTAATGCCAACTGCTCTTTTCCTGCTGCCTAGTGCTTCAGCATCAAGGGCCTTTCTGAGTCCCCTACTATTTCTTTGTCCTCATATGAGTCATTGTAGACTTTAAGCTTGATTTCTTCTGTATCTGCATCTGATTAATTTCCTATTGCTTCTTTCCAGCAATGAACTTCTTAGTGGCTAGAAAATCAAATGCAACTTCTTCACTCTGGAATTCAGGGTTCTGCAGATTTACCCTTCATCTGCCTCTTGGACATGATATCCTGTTGATATCCCACCCCAGTTTCTCCTCTTTCCTCTTTCAATCTTGGGCTTTGATCTTTAACCTCTGGGAAGAAAGGAACTGAAGACATTTATATTGGACATGCATCTCTGGCAGCACACATAAGTGAACGGTAAAGTTGGGTGACAGGGATACCATTTAGTAGGGCAAAGCAATAGATGAATGGACCTGGAATAATTAGATGTAGTAGGAATTAGGGTTGAGAGAGAGGGAGAGAGAATGAGAGAGAGAGAGAGAGAGAGAGAGAGAGAGAGAGAGAGAGAGAGAGAGAGAGGCACCAGTGGCTAATGCCTACAAAACTAGCTACTCAGGAAGCTGAGATCTGAGAATTTTGGTTCAAAGCCAGCCTGGGCAGGAAAGTCCACGAGATTCTCATCTCCAATTAATCACAGAAAAAAGCTGGAAACGGCATTGTGGCTCAAGTGGTAGAGCACTAGCCTTGATCACAAGGACCCCAGGGACAGCATCCAGGCCCAGATTTCAAGCCCCAGAACCAAAAAGACAGAGACAGAGACAAAGAGTATAATACTGAAGAATTAGATGGGCAACATGTGGAGACAAAGCAGAAGAGAACACCAAATAGAATTGTGGAACTTTTAGACTGGAAAAGCTAAAGGGGAAAGGATGTTATCAATGTAGATTGAAAATTTAGGAGGAAGAAATTGTTTTGGAGTATGTGCAAGGCATTCAGGTGGGCTAAGAAAAGTGTACAGGGCATCTGAGGAGGTCATCAGAAAGGGGACTGTGATGAAGGGCCATGACCTGCCTCTGGAAAGAAGAGGAGAGTGCAAGGTGACCGTACAGTAAGAAGGAGAGACAATGGCTATGAAGTAAAGAAAGAACAGGCCTTGATGTCAAATCCAGGGGGAAATCTGATAAGTAGCGGAAAGCAGACAGCAATGTTGTGCCACCAAAATGCCTCAAGAAGTCAGAACAGAGCTCTTAAGTGACAGTCTGAAGATGTGTCTGAGACAAAAGTCACATTGCAATGATCTGAAACATTTTCAGGGATGTATTTTGGCCTGTGAAAGTTATATCTTAATGCTCAGGGAAAGACAAAAAGAAAGATGTGTTTTAAAAAAGACAGAAGAAAAATTACAGGGCTGGGGAGGTGGCTCAGTGGTAGAGCGTTTGCCTTGCATGCCTAAGGCCCTGGGTTCGATTCCTCAGCACCACATAAGCAAAAAGAAAAAAGCCAGGAGTGGTGCTGTGGCTCAAGTGGTAGAGCGCTAGCCTTGAGCTGAAGAGCTGAGGACAGCGCCCAGGCCCAGAGTTCAGGCCCCACTACCGGACCCTTCCCCCCCCAAAAATTACAGATGTTTGTCTTTGGTTGGGCTTTACTGAAAAATAAGTTACTATAAGACCAAGATAATTTTCTTGTTTTTGTTGGTTATAGGGCTTTAACTCAAGACCTGAGTGTTATCCCTGAGCTCTTTTGTTCAAGTACTCTACTAGTTTGAGCCATAGGTTATCTTCAGGCTTTCTGGTAGCTAATTGGAGATAGGAGCCTCATGGACTTCCCTGCCTGAGCTGGCTCTGAACTTCAGTCCTCAGATCTGAGCCTCTTGAATAGCTATGATTACAGGTGTGAGCCACCAGCACCTGGCTGTAAATGTGTGTGTGTGTGTGTGTGTGTGTGTGTGTGTGTGTGTGTGTGTGTGCGTGCATGTGCACACATGCGTAAGCACACGTGCATGTGTGCTGGTTCTTAGGCTTGAACTCAGGACCTGGGTCCTGTCCCTGAGCATCTTTTACTCAAGCTAGTACTCTACCAGTTGAGCCACAGCTCCATTTCTGGCCTTTTCGGTAGTTTATTAGAGATAAGAGTATCATGGACTTTCCTGCCCAGGCTGGCTTCAAATAATGTTCCTCAATTCTCAACCTTCTAAGTAACTAGGATTGCAGGTATGAGCCACCAGTGCCCAGCTAAGATCAAAGTCATTTTTATGAAAGGATTTTCAAGGCAACAGAAACTTCATGGATGTTAATATTAGGAGTAATGTGGAATACTGACACATCTTTGGCAATAATATACATGTATACATACATATATATGTGAATATATGCAACATATATGTAAAACAACAAAAGTGTACTTACAGTATGAGAGAATCGTTTGATTCTGCTAATATAATGCTTGCCTGCATTGCTTGCTTCGTCAATGCCAAATTCAAATATTTTGGGTATTTTCAAACCAAAGCTGAAACTGGACTTGCTAGTCACGTGTTTTGTGACATTGTGCTCGAAATCTGAGTATGATTCATATTCCATGAATGTAAATTCATTTTTGCCTTGGGTCTAAGGGAAGAAAAGAAGAATATGGTTTTATTTCCATTGGCCGAAGTTAATTCAGTACATGTCATCAGACACTCACTGTACTCTTGCTGTGTACCAGACCGGGACTAGATAAATATATTCTGGATATAGAAAAATCAGGGCTAATTTGTATCCCCACCTCAGGATTCATCACCCCGCAGGAGAAACCAACCAATCAAATGGTGTGGTTGACATTCTGAGGTTGGAGCATGATTTTGATCTCAACCAGCAGAAGTGCAGGGGTAGGGATGGTGGGGACCTTCTAGGAGCATGGTTTAACCTAAGCCAAGATGCAGAAGAAGGCTAGGAGCTTTGAGGATGTATGAGTGGTTGAGTTAAAAGTTGTGTAAGAACAAGAGAAACAAACAGGCATTGTAGGGGAATGTTCTGGAACCAAAATATAGGAGCTTTTGTATCACTTGCTCTGGTTTGGCTTAAGGCAAAGGAAAGCCAACTCAGGGAAGAGACCTTCGGAAAGACCATTCTGGGAAGCACAGTGGTTGGCTTGGAGGGAATGGATCTGATGCCAGACAAGCCAATGAGGAGGCTGCAGAGAGAGCTGGTGACTGAGGAGGAAGGTGCAAGGCATCATGGGAGGAGATAGAAGGGACTTAATTGTTTCATCCACTTGCCAAGGAGTCATTCGCTTAAAAGCCAGTGTCCAACATTCTTGTGGAGGGGGACTTTCAAGGGGACAGCCTCAGTGGCCCTGAAGTGACCTGTCCGGGGTCATCTGTGCCGTGTGAACTCTACTGTACCCACAGTTTATGTGAGTTCAGCAGTAGTTCAGCAGTTTCTAACTTGAAATGCTTACAACAACGTTGAGTTTGATTGGCAAGGACTTAGCGATAATAATAACAGTTGACGTGGACTGAGGGCTCACCTTTTCATCAGGCGGTATTAACCTTCTTCCTGCAGGTAGAACCTTTCTAACTCCCAATCTGAAGCCGGGAAACCAGAGGCCCAGAACTTAGAATTACATACATGGCAGGTGGATGAGGTGCTGAGAGTGTACAACTCCCAATCCTAAGCTGACTTTGCTCTTCATCGAGGCTGTTGCTATTATTGTTACAGCATTACTGCAACTATAGACCCCTCCCTACCCTGCTGCTGTTCCTGTGTGTCACATGTTGTTCCAAACACTGGGTTTTGAAGAACATGCCAAATTTGCACATGAAAACCCTGAAGCGCAAAGGGAGAATGATGCAGTGATGTGTGCAGGGCACAACACAGCTAACTGGCCATAGAGTCTCTGTCCAGGGTCCGCTTAATGTCCTGCAGTGGCTACCTAGCTTTCCCTTACCTGTGGGGTATAGCTGTCCACATTGTATGGCTTCCTAAACCTCGTGTTCAGGATGTAATGGGGGGAACATCCACCAGCATAATACCTGTGGTCCAGGACTGGACCCTCCAGACTGTTCGTGAATAGGTTTATCCTGTAAGGAAGGCAGAAAAAGAGTTGAAAAAGTTGGCTCTTTTCAAATCTCAGTTGGCAGAGCCCATGGAATAAAACAGAAAAACCTATGGGCTCAGATGCAAGGCCCTTGGTATCTGGTTTACACCAGCTCATCAGCTTCATTTCCTGTCATTCCTAACACACCTGTTAATCATCCCAGTCCCCAGCCTTTGCTACTCAGTCTGCTCTGCTCCTTCCAGGTGTTGCCTGTCCTACCGAGTCAGATCCAACGCCACTGCTGGCTTCAAATGTCCACTCTACTGCCCTGGAGCTGGAAGACCATGGGGGTTCACTTAATTATTTAGGCACTCAGTTTCTTTATCTGGTTATAATTACCTTAAAAGGAAGTCCTAAGACTAGCCTCCCATTTCCAAGTGAAGAGATTCTGATGTGAGCTCTGAAAGATGGACATCTGATTTGTTTAGGGAGGTGAATTCTATTCACAGCCACCAAGTTCCTTTCCAACTATATCATTTACAAAGGTTCTTGTGGCACATAGAGGTATTTCCTCTTGTTCCACTGCTTGTAGGCTGAGAAGCCACACAGTGTGGCAACACATAAGGTGAAGGAGAAGTAGGGTGAGTGCTCATTTGACCTCTTCTGATAATGCTCCTTGGATCTCACTACATGGTTGGACCAGGGCCAAAATTTTCCCAAAGGCTTGAAACAGACAGATTATAACCTACCTCAGAAATCCAATCTTGTGCTGAGCACTTAGGAACCCCTTCTGCAACTCAGTGAGATGCTGGTGTATTGTAAAACAAAGATAGATATAACCTCCAGTGAAAGATCTCAGGAAGTTTCAAGTACAGTGCCGAGAAAGCTCCCAGAAGCCATCTTGTAGGTATAAAGATAAAAGTGCTCATAACAGCTTCCGTGGTTGCCACATACAGAGCTGAGCCTGGGTGACAGGCTGCCCTCCTGTCACACATGTATGACCCTGGCACACACTTTTGGAATGACTTAGAACTGCCCTGAAGAGCAGCCAGAAGCACTCAATTATACTAAAGCTACATTTTTGTTGTTGTTGTTGGTGGTGGTCGTGGGACCTGAACTCTGGGGCTGAACACTGTCCCTCTGCTCTTCAGCTCAAGGCTAGCACTCTACCACTTAAGCCACAGCGCCACTTCTGGCTTTTTCTGCTTATGTGGTGCTGAGAAATTGAACCCAGGGCCTCATTCATGCGAGGCAAACACTCTACCACTGAACCACCTTCCTAGCCCTACATTTATTTTTATTCAGAAAAGAAAGTGAGGAATTGCTCATTTCAGTTTCAGTCTACTTTGTACATTCTCTGGGACCCCATTTAATGTGATGCCTTTCCAGCCATCCACCAGAAAGATAGTAACTCACCCACTCGCCAGAGTGCCGATTGCCCAATATTGGTCCATTTCCCGCTGGCATTTTTTATAAATCCTTTTACAGTTTGCCTCATCAGACTGGTCTCCACAGTCATTGTCCCCATTGCAAAGGAGTCTGCGATTGATGCACCTCCCTGGGATGGAGAAAGGGAGTTGTCAGTCCACCCCCCCCCTCCCAAACACACATAGTAACAAGGCTGCGTATACACCACTGGGGGACAGACATGTTGCTGGGTATTAATGCCTGTTTTGATTAGTCCTCATGTACCAGGAAAGATTGGTAATGGCATTGGCGTTTTATTCTCCTTTAGTCAACGGCTCCCCAAAAGACCAGAGTTGTCTTCCTAAAAGCACTTTTGGGAGAGATTAATTGGAACCAGCCCGTAGGCAGGGAAAGGCAAAATGCCTAATGATAAACCACAACCAATCTCTAGGATGGGAGGGCAGTCTACATTTCTTCCCCAGAGGCTGGGAACAGCAAGAGCTGAGGCACCTGGTATGTGTTTCCCTGCTCCCCTGCCTCAGTGTCCTCTCTCATCCCTCACGGAGAAGTCACCATACCCACCCCACATGGCCACAGTGATTTGAGTGTGTAAATAAAATAGTACTGACTCATGGGAAGTACTGTGAACCCATTATTATCATTGCTATGGTGAATGTTTTTTGAAGGCCAAGCTCACATTGCCAATAAATGTTTGTGGCAGGAGTGTTAACTTTGAAAGGTCTAATTGTAAATCCTTTCCCCCAATGCCCACTGATCTTCAGCACCATGGCCAGTTGTGCAACTTTTGCTCTCTTTCCCCACTCACTTGACTTTCTTTTCTTATTTGCATGTTATTAGGGCATAAAGCCCATAGGGAGGTGTCCCTACTTCCTTAGATGTATCAGGTCATTTTTAACCAATGTTCTTAGGATGTAAAAGGCAGAAAAATAGCAATCTGCTCTCCAAATGTTTCTTACAAGGCATTTAAACGAAAGCCTGCATGAATAACCATTATGGCTCGGGCCAGAATCATGGAACACTGGCCATAATGAGCCCATGGATACACTGTAAAAAAGTCTCTCAGATTTATTGGATAGGATTTCACATTTGCAATAAGCCCTAGAAATTGCTCTACAAATCCCTATCTCTTTTTTGAAAGGTCCCAGTGCACAATCCACAAGGGTATAGTGAATGTGGAGAATTGCAAGTTCCCATCTAGATAATTTAGGTCAAAGTATCCTTATTTTTGCAAGAGTCTTGAAAAGAAAAAGAAGCATATATTCCCTTGCTTCAGCTAAATGAATTAATTGGAACAACATGTGTTTACTTAGTTGTGCAGTGGGTAATTACTCATTTGTGTGCCTTTTCCATTTTCTGTCTGTTCAAATCTTCTTATTTTCTTCTTTTCCTTTTGATGATCAATCATTTCTATTGACTATTATTCTGGACTTGGTAATGCATAAACAAATGACTGGGACACATATGCAAAGATTTGTCAAAGGTAATACTAGTCACATTAGTTCACTGTTTTAGTTTGTCACATTGTATTGAATCCTAGGCTCCGAGAGGCCAAACAGAACCACACCTGGTTTTCAGACCCATTATGTCATTGATGCTTCTAATGAATTTGTAAAGCACTCATATCACTTTGAATTTTCTACCAAGGGCGTTCAAAATTCAAACAGGTTAAATGGTTACTTCTAGGCCACAAAGTCAAGGAGAGGACTTAGGCAGAACTTTTGATTCTACTACTACTAATACTCTTGATGTCAGTGAATGAAAACTGAACTTGTGAATTTCTCACTGCTGCTCTTCCATGCGTCCCAGTTCCTTAGACTGTAGAGATAGGGATGATTTGTGTGACAGTGCCTATAAAAGAAGGTGAGACATTTGAGGATAAAAGTCCTCCTGACCTGTTGCAATACCCTGACCAATAGCACGACATGGCCCATGCCCCCATCACCATGTGCCAGGGTTTCCTTCACAAGCTTTCCCCTTCCATTCCTATACCTGTTCATACCTGTGTGTGCACACACAAAGCCTTCACATCTCACTTGACTTCTGCATGGGCTACTGGTAACACAGTCTTCCACTTCCTTGTCAGAGTAGTTGCAGGGTTCCCCATTGAACTGAGAGGGCCGGAGCAAGTAGGTGTGTCTGTACTATAGGACAGAGGAGCCAGGTGAAGCAGGGCAGGGCCTCAGGAACAGAGGGATGCTGTATGCAAATGGTTCTCAGCCAGAATGCAGGCTCCATCAGAGCACAGAATTATCGGACTGCTGTTCTCCCAGCCCTTATACTTGCTTCCTTCTATTCACCAAAGGGTCTATTTGTCTGACTCGTTCCCCAGGTGAATTGAGAGCTCTCTGAGGGTTGTGACCTTGTCTTTAATCTCTGTGCTGCAGTGATCCATCAAGGTTTGCTGAGTCTGGAAAAGTCATGGGCTTTGGAGTCAGTGGACTCATGCAGCTAGTTCACAGACAAAAACAACAAAACATGACCTCTCAGCATAATTACTCCAGTGGGTTGATTCATGTATTTTCATTTATTCCTCAGGGCACCAGTAAATTCAAAATGAAAAAAAAAATGTGCTTTAAAGCCACAGTTGAGTCTAAAACCTCCAAGTTATGTGATCTTGGACAAGTACCTTAACTTTTATGAATCTCAATTACTCATCTATAAATTGGGAGGAATGAATTACATAAAGATACTGTTTGGAATTTTAATTACATATATTACATATGATATTTGTTATATATATTATTCAGTTACATGTATTATATAATTATAATCAACTTCATTATGCATGGTGGATAGTACAAATTTGATTTTTTAGTGTTTCTATTATTAATGTTTTCAATAATCAATACTACCGTATCTCAATCTTCCTAGTTTTTCTGAAAATATTGAGTTACTCGTGCTCATGTTGAAAGAAGCAGGTGTTATTTTTGCCTGCTTGTGTGTTGCTGGGTTTGAGTCATGATCATACTCTCTAAGCTGCCTTTAAGGCTTTGCAGTTGGTGGCATGGATACGCAGTAAGGATACCATGATGAAATGGTTGCAGAACCACAGAGTGCTCTGTAAGCTCCAAGTGGAATTCTCAGAGCCTAGGAAATGGTGGGAGGATGCTAGCAGAAGTGAGACTGAAACTGGAAAGCTGAGAAAAATCAGCCAGATGTAGTGAGCAAGTTTGAGAGAGGCAGAGAAGGGCAATATGATGGATGGAGTTACTAAAGTCAAAGCTGAGAGACTAAGAGTGTCTTTTTTAAACAATTTTTTAAATTTTATTTTATTGTAAAGATGCTGTACAGAGGGGTTACAGCTCCATGAGTAAGGCAATGAGCACATTCCTTGTCGAGCATTGGTTACCCCCTCCCTTGTTGTTCTCCCACTATCCCTTCCCTCCCCTACTTCCCCCACTCCTCCCCCCCCAAGTTGTAAAGTTCATTTCCAATATACTGTCTTGTGGGTATCAATGTGTCTTATCCTAGGAAAGAAAGGAAGGAAGGAAGGAAAGAAGAAAAGAAGGAAGGAAGGAAGGAAGGAAGAAAGAAAGAAAGAAAGACAGACAGACACTCATCCTGGTTGGAGAAGAGCACACAGACAGTAGAGGAAATGGAGTGTAGAAAGCCCTTCCACAGAATAACTATTAACAAATCATAGTTACTACTTATATGTCACTTATACTCCAGGCTCTAGAAATACAAAAAAAAAAGAAAGAAATCCAGATAAGTATTCAACCACCCACACACCTTTGTACTTCCAGGTCATTTTTAGAAGATATAGACCATTACGACAGGGATAAAGCCTGTAAAGAAGACTGTGAGAAAAAATAATCCCCAGATAAATTAAATATAGAAGGAATATAACTCAACATAATAACGGCCATATGTGACAAGTCCATAGCCAATCATGTTAAATAGGGAAAATCTCAAAGTATTTCTTCTGAAGTCTGTGACAAAATACTGCAGGAAGTCTAGGCTAGAGCAATCAGGCTAGAAAAAGAAAAATAGAGCACCCAAGTTTTGGATGAGGTTGCTATACACACACACACACACACACACACACACACACACGTATACAAATTTGTATATATACAAATTCCACTACAGTATTAGTGGAACCGAATAGCATTTTTATTTTTATATACTCCAAATATACAGATTGGAGAAGAAATTTCAAATGCAATCTATTCTCAATATGTACAAAATAATAAAACACCTAGAGATAAATTTAACTAAGGAAATAAAAAATATCTGTAATAAAAATTTAAGAAAATTTTATGTTCATGGATTTGAAGAATTAATAATTCAAAGCTGTTCATAATAACCAAAAAAATCTACCAATTCAGTGGGTTCTCTACAAAATGCCCGTGATACTGAACTTCAAAAGGAATCACACAGTTCATATGGAACCACCAAGGATTCAGAATAGCCAAAAATTCTTGAGCAAAAACAAAAAAAAAAGCTAGAAACATCATAATACCTTACTTCAAAGCACAATGCAAAGTTATTGTAATCAGAATATCATAGGAGTGGCATAAAAGCAGATATATAGAGCAATGCAACAGAATAAAAGTAATCCAGAAATTACCTCACACATGTTCACTCACTGTTTTTCAACAAGGTTTCAAGACCAGATATTCTAGAAAGGATAATACTAAGTTGTGCAAGGAAAATTGGATATACATTTACAGAGAATGAAAAATAAGTCTTACCACATCAAAAATCAACTCTAAACTGATTTCCTTTGTGCAACTACTTAAAGATAATAAAAGTATATTTTATAAAAAATTTAAAAAACCAACTTAAAATGGATCAAGAACCTAAATACAAGAGCCCAAACTATAAAGCTAATAGAAGAAAACACAAGATTTTCTTATTTTTATCTCCAAGATAAAGATAAAAGATTTTTTTATAATACCTGAATACCACTGGCAACAAAAGCAAATCCAGAAAATGAGATTATACCAAACAAAGAATGTGCACAATAGAAACAAAAGTGCTAGGAGATAAACTAAAGAATAGGAGAAAATATTTGCAAACTATTCATCTAGCAAGAACAGAAGGGACTCAGAAGCAAAAAAAAAAAACGGTCTAAAGAATAGTATTTAAAATGGGCAAACAATCTGTATTGACACTTCTCAAATGATGAGCTACTATGGTAAGACTGGAGAGAAAAGGGGAATGTTTGTACACCAGGGGGAGTGTACAGTAAACTAATATGGCCATTATGGAATGCTTTAAAATCAAACAGAACCACCATATGACCCAGCACTTCCAATACTGGGGATATGTGTGTGTGTGTGTGTGTGTGTGTGTATGTGTGTGTGTGTGTGTATGCACATACATATATATGTATACATACATATATATATATATATATATATCCAAAGACTGTGAATTATATGAAAAAGACACCTGTGCCCCTGTGTTTATTGTAACATTATTATACAGTAATCCAAGTGATGGAACTAACCAAGAGTCTGCCAACAAGGAATGGCTCAAAACCATGGGACCAATTATAATGGGATATTACTGAGCTTTAGAAAAATGAAATCTTGCCCTTTGTTGCATGGAGGGAACTTAATGACATTATGTCAAGTGAAATAAGTCAGGGGCAGAAAGATGTTTTCCCTCATTTGTGGATGCTTACAAAGTTGATCTCATAGAAACACAGTAGGATAGAAGTAACTGGAAGAATGTGGGATAAAAAAGAAGATGAATAAAGCTCTACATGGTAGGTACAGTCTGTAGCACTGTTGAATAAAGTCTTAAGTAATTAATTATATTATCCAGAGAAACTAGGGGAGATTAGTTTGAAGGCTTCCAACGCCTCCACGCAGAAAGGACCATGTTCTAAGTGATGGCAATGCTAATTATCCTGATCTGATCATTACACATAGTATACAGGGATCAAATTATAATACTCTACTCCATACTGAGAGAAACATGATGTGTAAAAGAACAATATGGGTCAGAGGAGGTGGCTCAGTGTTAGAGTGCTTGCCTTACATGCATGATGCCCTGGGTGCTGGGTTCCTCAGCACCACATAAGCAGAAAAAACCAGAAGTGGCACTGTGGCTCAAGTGGTAGAGCACTAGCCTTGAGCTGAAGAGCTGAGGGACAGTGCCCAGCCCCAGAGTTCAGGCCTCACGACTGAGAAAAAAAAAAAGAAAGGAAGAAGCAAAGAAAGAAAGAAAGACAGAAGAAAGGAAGGCAGAGAGAAAGAAAGAAAGAAAGAGAAAGAGAGAAAAAGAGAAAGGAAGGAAGGAAGGAAGGAAGGAAGGACAAACAACAATAAAGCTATACATGTACAAAAGAAGGCAGTGAAAAGACTCAGCTTCCTGAGGCAAACTATTGGAAGGTTATGGGAAGGATGGAGGAAATACATCCCAAGCCTGGGTTATGAGGTTTGTGGAAATTTTCCCTGACGATCCTGCAGAGAAGGACAATGCCTGGCTGAGGGAGTCCACAACCAGCTCTGAGGTACTCTGGCTGTCTGTCTCATACTGAGTCTTCCTGGTTTATTGTGTGGCTGAAGCAATTATCCTGATAATTGGATCAATGTTGATAACTTCAGCAAGAAAACCTACTCTGAGGATGGAATGATCTTGCTTGGCTCTCCCCATTGATCCAATTAACTGTGTAATTGTCCTGGGCCTGCCTTCATAGCCTCTTTAGACTCCTAGTCCTGACAGGTTTGGTTTTCTCAGGAGCTAGGGGAAACAGCAACCATTCTTTATTCTCTGACACTTCTGCTTAAGCTCCAGGCTGGGATCCTGGGCCAGCTCTCATGATAAGGAAAGCTAAAGGACAAAACACTACATAGACTGTGGTTTTATGGGCAGGAAAGGAGACAAAGAACTATTTGAGTGCTAGGGTTGTATTTGCTACTAGGGAACTCTAGCATAGGATAATAGGGGCCTTAGAAAAAGCTTATAAAAATTGGCTTAATCTCTGTGGCAGTAGGGTTGAGGAGCAGTCAAGGAAGTCTTCTCAAAAGAGGTGGCCCTGGTTAGAATGAACCTGTGACTTAGAAATTATGTAATCACTTAATCACAATCAAAAAAAAAAAGAACTTTGGGGAAGGGAGGGAGGGGATGGTAGGGGGAAAACAATGGAGGGGCTAACAATGTTCAAGAGGAAGTGTACTCATTACCTCACTCATGTAACTGTAACCCTCTGTATAGTATCTTTACAATAAAAAATTAAAAAAAAGAAGCAAAAAAAAAAAGAGGTGGCCCTGATCAGAATTAGATTATAGGTCACGATCAGCCAGTGAAAGCGATAGGTTTGGAAAAGCAGATTGAACAAGGACACAGGGAGAGCAACATGGCAGGAAGAGTGCAAGTGCTCCGCAGTTTGGGCTGGGGATAGAGGCCAGGATAATTCGACCGTGAGCCTTGCCTTGACCCTCAGCATCATGGGTAGACTTCAGATGCAGCAGCTTTCTGGTAGCTTCCCTGGTCAAAAGCAGGCTCAAGTCAGGAAGTCCAATTGGGAAGTACTAGAAAGACCCGAAGGGATTGTCACAAATGGTAGTGTCAGAGAAAAAGGAATTGTTGCAGTCTTCCTAGCTCCAGGGGAAACCAAAGGGATTTGGTTGCTATTTGAAAATGATGAGAAAGAAGAGTTATTGACTAAATCCAGCATCTTTGAGGGCCTCCTGTGTACCAGGCACCTTTGACCTCAGCCAATTTTACTGAGGATCAGGCAGATTCTAGAGGCCTAGCACACTCCCAAGCCCAGGTACTTACCCTCTTCTTCTGACAAGGGTCACACGCAGTCCAGGAAGACCAGCTGGATAGCTCACAGTCAACAGGCATTGGGGCAACATCCACACTCCGCACCTGTCTGCTCCTAGCAAGGCTCCCGTTGACTGTATTTGACTCAAGAGAATGCGGTATCTGTCCTCTACAAAGTCATCACAAAGAAGAGAGCGGAGGGTCAGAAGGAAGGGACATATACTTCCAACCATGTCTCCATCCAACCACCCTGCTACTTCAGCATTCTGATATAAGCTAATTCATTGAATAAGTACCTGTAAGTGCCTGACATATGCCTACTGTGGTCAAAGGAGCAACAAACTCAGATCCATTAACAAATGGATTATTTCTGTCTGTTTTTTTTTTCTTACCCTGTGTGAGCTTCACTTTTCTCATATTGACGATCAGGTTCAACATACTTACCTCATAAGGCTATTTCTGTGATTAAAAAATGATAGTCTGTGGGAGAAACACACACACACACACACACACACACACAACCCTCACATGCTGTCACTGGGCCTCTGTTTAGTCCTCTGGATAATGAGAGGTTTGGCTGCTTTGTCTTTAAGGTGCCTTTTCATGTAAGAGTCTGTGAAGCATATGCTGAGACCAATTGGTTTTGGGGATATTTGCTACTGAGGATGCAAAGAGATGTAAGGCACAGGTTCTGCTTTGTGAAATCAGTTGGTGTTAGAGTAAGAAAAATGTGTCTAACATCTGAACTCTATGGGACTTTACCCACTAGGCAATGGGATGGATAGAAAGTGCTGCGTACATGGATGGGGTTGGAGGGAGTGTTAGAGGAGGAGAGTGTTTAGGTTGGTGTTGGTGTCCAGTCTGAATACATGAGTCAGTGATGACACAGAAGGAAAGGACTTGTGTTGGAAAAGATCTTTGGAGTCTGCTGAATTCCACGTGCACATGCATGCACCATCAATACAGAAGAATTCAGTATTCAGTTCCTCCATGAACTGGTCTGTCTTAGAGAAACAGATGTGATCATGAATAGCTATGGAAGAAGATGAGACTGTTCTTGAGAAGAGAAACAGAAAAGCCCACTGGGAGCTTGGGTACCACAGTAGGTCTGGGGGAGCTCATGCCTGGCCAGTCCAGGATGTGGAAAGTCTTTGGAGTTAAGCAGAGTGAGGACATGCCAGATGACAGATGAGTCACATCTGAAGAGCAGCCATACCACCTGAGCCTACAAAGTAAAGCGATAGTTCTTTTTGTTGAGTCTCTGGCACACAATGGGGCAAGAGTAAATGTGTGCACAGTACTATTTAATCTGCTTGAGCCTCCAGTCCCTCCTTTCTATGACAAGATAGGGGTAATTTGATTCTAGTTTTCTTCCACCTGAGTGCATTGCACAGTAAGATCTATTGTAATTTGTGTGTATAAGCCTGTGAAGAAGACAAGAAGAAAAAAGGGATGCTATATGTTTTCCTGTGCTCATCTTGGTCTTTATAACAGTGTTAGAAAGCACCATGGAACATTGTCACCAACACAGAATCCAGAAATAAGGTGACAAGTCCATCAGCCTTCAGCTGGTAAGCTACAGTGCTGGGTTCTCTTTCTACTAGTGCATCACTGGAGCATTTTGACACATGCTCTACTGCAACTTTGAATTGGACCAGTATCCATCCCCTTCTTTTATCCCTGTATCCATTTATTCCTGAATCCTTGTATCGAAGATTGAGTTATTAGGGAGACCATTGCAAAGTTTTCACAGTCAAATAACCCAGGATGTCATTCCAAACAAGGTAATTATTGGTGCATTCTCACTTGGCAAAAATCCTTAAAAAAAACAACAACAAAAAAGAGGCTAATATTAATGACAGTGAAATCCATCTCCATGACTACCCCAGGGATCAGTAAAAAATCAATTCCTAGTGAAGTTGGATTTTTAACGAAAGGTCAAAGACTCCTGGAAACCACAGGTGGATACTTAAAAACGGTTACTTGAGGCAGGATGGTGCCTATCAGTGGGAGACCTAAGAATGGGCTCCTAGCTAATAATTTGCCCAGGTTTGACAAAACAATGCTGTCTGTGATTTGGCTTCCTCTAAGTATGTATTTGACAGCTCTGCAGGGTAGCCTCTTCCTATTTCAACTACCAGCTCCACTGTGGGGTTTATTATTTTTTTTCCAACTATCAACCCGATTGGGGCCACAGCAGAGTCTGAGTAGAGAAGTAATGTACACACTAGCTATTAAGAGTCACAATTATTTTCCTCTCCAAGATTTGCAAGCCTGTTAATGGGCAAGATGATCACTTACAGAAAGAACTTGGTAAGAAGTAGTTATAACCACCAGATCTCTCATTTTTGTACCCAATTTTCATTATGGAGGTGGCAATATAATGAAGTAATCAGCGGGATAAATCGTATGTTTGTAAATTACATTGGATAAGATGCATGTAGCTTATTAGTACTACAAAATGCAAATGTAAAGGGAAAGCTAGCATTAAGTCTCCTCTTCAATCCCTGAGAATTACAGAGGCTGGGTCCAGTCAGGGCCTCTGTGTAAGGCACAGACCTTGCATCCTGATGAATCTATGGAAATAAGCCCTCATGACATTTTGACCAACTGTTTTGACTTCTATCATTTATAACTCTCTGTATATTTTTCACTTTGAAAAATTAACTATGCCTAGAGAGGCACAGAAAGTAAAATCATAAACACCCGTGTACTCACCCTCATATTGATGATTGCTAGCATGTGAGTATATTTGCTTTAAGTTTCTTTAAAATTAAATTCCACTATAAATCAAACATCTGTGTTCTATACCAGCTCCTGCTCCACTGACTTCCCTCCTTTCACAGGGGACTGCTGTTATGAATTTGGTGTGTGTCCCCCCAGTCTTCATAGTTTTCATAGGTATTTATGCATACTGTGTGTCATATTGCCCTTGTGAGCTTTCCTTCTATTGTGCCTTTTGCTTTTGCAACTTACATCTGCAGCCACCGTTGCATTCCTGAGCTATATCCTACAGAGTCATAAAGAGCTCTGGTTCACTTCTTTTATCTGGATATGCTATCCTAGGACATACATTGAGTGTAATTGATTCTCTTTCTTTTATAAAGGACATTTATATTTTCCCAATGTTTTGCAGTTGCATGTAATGCTACAATAATCTCCTTGTCCAAGCCCTTGTACATGCTCTCTCTCTCTCTCTCTGTGAGCTCTGCAAAGAATTGGCCTTTTAGGGGGTACATGAAATGCCATGGCCAGCGTTGTGGCATATTTCACTGATCCAGCATCTCCCACTTTCTTTCAAATAGCCATCTCTGATCAAAATAAAGACGGATCCATCAAGTAGAGCAGGATTAGGTCAGCAGTAAATTTCAAGCCATCAGCTCATATAGATGGGGTACATCAATATATTTTGGCTCTCTGTAGAAATGCCCTGACACAACAACTTTCTTGTCACACTCAATTTGTTAGGCAGCTGCACCCCTTTACACACAGCATCTTCCTCTTTGCTAGAAGGGGGAAGCTTCTGGGTGGCAGGTTTTTAATTTCTCTTCTTTCTGCCATTTGCTGTGGTAGACATGGATTTAAAGGCACATCTCAAGACAACAAATGTGTGGTCCGGAGATAGAGAAACAGCATGAGAATCCCACACTATAGATCCATCATGTAGGTGGAGAGAGGCAGAAAGATGCGAAGAGAATACAGGAGTTTCTGGTAACAACCTTCTCTATAAAATATTGCATTTTAGCTGAGCACTGATGCCTTACTCCTGTAATCCTAGGCTGAAATATGAGGATCACAGTTTGTATCCAGCCCAGGCAGAAATGTTTGTGTAACTCTTATCTCCAATTAAATGGAGATGGCAGAAGTGGAGCTGTGGCTCAAGTGGTAGAGTGCCAACCTTGAGTGAAAATGCTAAGGGACAGCCTCTAGGTGCTAAGTTTAAGCTCTAGTGCATGCATGGGGTGGGGTGGGGGAGGAAGGGGAGATAGAGAGGGAAAGAGAGGAAGAGAGAGAGGGAGAGACAGAGAAAGGATTCTAATCTATATTTTGCTATAAATTTAGTAGCCTTGCAACAGTTACATAATGTCCCTGAGCCTCAATTGCCCTTTCTGTAAAACTGTAAACAACAGCACCTCCCTCAAATAGCAATGAGGGTTAAATGTGCAAGTACCTATTACAGAGTAGGCATCAATCCTCATTAATAGGTCTTGAGACCTTGTGACTTGATTGGAAGAGTAAGTGAAAATAAGTAACTTCCTTAGCTAATAAGGAGGTGCCAGCCTTTTCTCTTCCAGAACTGAGCACTTTCCCTCTTCTTAATGATTGAAATTCAAACACAGATTGTGTTCAGGACTGGATTATAGGGATCGATGGTGGAGATCTTTACATTAAACCTGATTCAGGTAAAGCTTTCACACTTACTGAACAGGTATGGCTCTTTTCTCCTTCCTAAAAATCCACTTGTTCCTCCCCACAGAGAACATAGGAGCTCATACTCTTCATCTTCAGTTATATAGCTGCAAAATTTTCCAGCTAGTACTCTGTCCACCCCTGAACTTTATTCCCTGTCTCAGAGGGAACTTCCTGATACATAAATTTTATTGTGTTGCTGCTTTACCTCACTGTTGCTGAACAGGGAAGGGAACGTTTGACCCTTGGGCCATAAAAATCATTGGTATATGATAGGACAGACACCTACGTTTCTCCTCGGGTGCTTGTATTGATAATTTTGTACGATGCAGGGACAGTGTTATAAATATTCATCCTTGGAAGAACAAAAGCTTCCCAGCACTGGCAGAAGCTAAGGTTCAGGCTCCCTAGCTGCTTCCTCTTGCTCACCTCACTTGGCCATTCTCCCCTTGACTACTGAAATGTACCTGAAGTCTTGGGGACATGCCAGACTCTCTCATACCTCCATGCCTCATAGCTCATGCTATCACTTCTGCCTGGCACTACTTTCACCCTTTTCTTGACTCCATGCCTGGGAGAGCTAAAACTTCTAATGCAATAGTCTGGTTGGTATATTCTCACACAGTGTCATTCTCCCTGAGAACATGAGCATCTTGTGTCTTGTCTATCTATGTATCCTCAGATACCCACAAGAGGCTGTGTACAGAGGCTCAATGCTGCAGAGGGGGTTGTGATGGATTTCTTTTCTTTGTATATACTTTTTATTGTAAAAATACTGTACAGAGGGATTACAGTTACATGAGCAAGGTAAAGGGTACATTTCCTATCGAGCATTATTAGTTCCTCCTTTGTTTTTCCCCTATTATCCCTTCCCTCCCCACCATACCAACTCCTCCCTACCCCCCCCCAAGTTGTAAAGTTTATTTTCAACATGGTATCTTGTACATCTCATTGATACAATGGGTCAACTTATATCCTTATTTCAGCTTTTTGTTATTTCCCTTCCCCTCCACAAATTAGAAAAATGTATACACAAGATGCAGGCCACCAAAATCAAATACAGTGAAAACAGGTTATACCATGCGGGAAGAACATACAAAAGAAACAAAAAAGAACACATGGTACATTATAAATATATTAAAAACAAACAGCAAGAAAGATAAAACCTATTGAGTCTCTATCTTGGGGTTCATTTTGCTTAGCATCATCTTATATGGTCATATGTACATAGCTTTTGAAGTTTTCTATTTGTTCTAGACATATACTAGTTATTGCAAATAAGGGAAACCATAGGACCTATGTTTCTTTGGACCTGGCTTGCTTCACTTAGCATATTTTTTTCCAAGTCTTTCCATTTCTTAACAAATGGGGCAATGTCATTCTTTCTGATGGAGGCATAGGATTCTAATATATATATATATATATATATATATATATATATATATAGGCATATATATGACATATATATATATATGACATTTTCTTGATCTGTGATGGCTTCCTTAAACTCTCTGTTCTGGGCACAATTCCTTGGGTCTTATATGTGTCTTTGCATATACAACATACACACGAGGAAGACAAGAGCATTTCTGGGCTAAGCTCAGGGTCTTGAGAATCTCAGGGGAGATTTCTAATGGGGACGAAGGCATATCTGATTGGTTACCTGGTGCTTCTCATGCTAGACAAGGGGTTGTGCACAGGGAGCGTTTTTGGAGTAAGTAAAAGGAAAGGCATTATGTGTCTTCCCATAGGGGTGCTCACAAGCAGGTGTAGAAGGCCCAAGTGCTTTGACATCATGTGCCAAATCACTGGCATGTTTTCCATTGGAGACACAAGTTAGACCATTTGAGGCCCCACTGAGATAATTTCTTTAGCTTGTTTTGCAGCATATCAATAGAGGCTTTAAAATGATTAAATAAAACAGATAGTTGACTGCCAGGAACAAATATTTAGAATGTGCGTGAGAGAGAGAGAAAGAAGAGAGTGAGGCAGGGAGGGAAGGAGAAAGAGAAAGAGAGAGAAGGAGAGAGAAAGGGAGGCAGGAGAGGAAGGAGAGAGAGAGGTAGAGAAAGGCGAGCACTGACTGTGGGCTCTTGAGTCACTCTCAGACATTAAAATCATTCAGATGAATTGGCACTTTTATTTTTTTTAACATACAGACAACCTTCTTTTACATAGAGTCAGACAAGGCTTTGTGCAGAATACAAAACAAGCATCCCATTCTTCTTGGCATGACAAAAAAAATGCATTTAAACCTGTCAGCTTTTGCTTTTTTTAGGGGCACTTTTGTTAAAATCAGCTACTGGGTTCTGCCACAATGCAAAGGGAGCTGTTGATATTATTTTATCAGATGCATGCAAATTGCTTCAAAAGATGTTTCTCATTCCATAGGCAGTGACAAAGACTCTGTCAGTATTAGGAGGCTTTATATCTTCCCCCTTCACTACCACCACCATGTGTACCCACACATGCCCTGTGATTAATTGATCAGGGAATCATTTGTCACTTACCTGGAGCCAGGCAAACTGAGACACACCAGGAAAGCACTGAGAAGAAACACCTCTGCCAGAGCCCTCCAAACCCACATCCCTCTCTTCATGTTCTCTATGTGATTGAAGTTCAGTTGAGGCTCCCAGATCCAAGGAAAGCCAACACCGCCAGTGTCAGTTTCTATCCACTGAGCAGAGCAAATAGCTCAGCAAAGCAAACAGGATGCACCAATGCCTGGAGCCTTCATAGACTTTGCACAGATTGAAACTTACCTGTGCTGCTACAATGAGAACGATAAAAAAAACTCTGCAGTGACCTGGCTTTTAGTCCTATGTAATGATGCTTGGGTAAGCAACAGAGACCACAGGCTCTAAGGACAGCGGCCCAGTCCACTATTTCCTCTTCCACTTACTAAAGTCAAATGAGAAAATCCCTCTATTCCTGTGTCTCAGCTTCTTTACCCACATAGCAGTGAGAATTAAGTAAGTTACCATAAGAAGAGTGCTGAGCAACAGACCTGAGTTGAACACTCAGACATAAGAGCTATTCTTACTAGGTTGAACACAGGATTTGCAGGTAGATGAGCCAGGATTATGTCATTTTGAGAAGGACTGTAGGTCCCATCTACTAGAGTTCAAATCTTTCTTTTGTGATAAGTTTACCAGCTGTGTGCCTCAGGGCAAAGTACAGCCCCTCTCTGGGCTTCACCTATCACTCTCCTCCATTCCAGGTCAGAGAAGCCCCTGTGCTTCCTCAGGCTGAGCACAGCTAAGGCGTGACTCACAGGTACTGAGATCCAAGCCTGTGTGATCTAAGCTTTCTATTGCTCTGGACAGTTCATAGATCCATCTGCCTATCTTCCCTATGACACTGACTCAAAGGGGAAAAAAAACTTGCCCTTGAGCATTCTTGAAATAGAAGACTCCATATAAACATTCTCACATGAGAAATGCTTTCCAGATAGACTAGAAATGGCATCAATGTTCTCACATTGCAGCTCCAGTTTTCAGCATCACCAATTCCAACCTAGACATAGTGCCATCTGCTTATGGTGCAGAGCACGGGGCTCTGGGAAAAGCACCTGTCAATCTGGGAGGTAATATGCACATGACCAAGGCTCTCAAAAAAGGTCTTCCTGATATTCCAGAGTCAACAAAGTAAAAGTCCAAACTGCTTTAACCAATCTGTACTTACCAAATCAACCTCCAGCCTAGAAAGGGCTGCAACAGAACGATGGACAATGCTCTTGTTAAAATTGTGAGTGTGGATTAGGAAATGTGGAGGGGTCACGTGACTTAGGATGAGTGAGGGTGGGCTAGAGAAAGGACTTTGTGATCCTTTTGTGATCAGCCAGTTGCATCATTTAAGATTCAGTTTTTTTCTTCTGCAGAAGTAGGTGATGATTCCTGAATAGCTTCTTCATGATGTTGTTTGGGGTTAGAACGCATAAGGCATGAAGCCCCTACCTCCTTCCTGGCCTAATTCTGGATATTCTTTCTTGCTAAGTCAACTTTCTCCTGGACTTGGGGGTGGACATGCCAAAAGAAAGCATAGTGAGAAGGTGGGGGTAAAGCAAGGAAGGCAGTTGTCCCTTATATTCATTGTGTTCATGCAGAGAACACAAGTTCTGTTGTCAACCATCCCATGTGCTTTCCCGTTATCACTGGCTGAAGCACAAGGCACATCTCACCAGTGTCCCCAAGGCCACCGTTGATCTGAACTTTGACACAATTGATTGTGGCAGTTAATCATTAGTAAACAAGGAGAAAATTGAACTCCATATCCCCATCTCCTCCCCCCTTGCAGTGTGTCTACCTGCATTTAAAAGGAGCCAAATCTTTATGTAATGAGGGTGCCCTTGGTCATCCTCAACCTGATATGTCCAGCAGGAACCCATGCATGTCTGACTGTATCACGTCATAACTTCCAGATTTTTCTGTTCATGTTATGCCAGGAAATTACACCCGGGACTAAATCTGACTAATTTTACACTAATATTGGGTGCATAGGAAGGGCTCTGAGCTAACTACCAGGGGCTCTTTGTTTCCAGGATTCAAGATGTCTACAAGGAATTTTAACTGCACAGTTCCTCCTAGTGGCTGCAGGTGTTACTCTCCTGATGTCACCAAGCGGGTGGAGATGGCGGCGCGTAGGGAGGTAGCCCGAGGCTATTGGGATAATAGCACACACCTTTTTCATTGCCAGGTTTTAGTAAGTTGACATTCTTCCCATTCATCATCCTGTTTGATCTTGACAACAAGGCCACAAACCAAGGATCATCTCCATGTCTCTGAGGTGGTATTTTACAGCTGCTTCCATTGCCAGGAATTAGCAAATCTACAGCCAGGTACAACCAAATTCTGCTTTTTTTAGCCCTCAAATGTGAGTTTTCATCCCTTGTAGACAGTTCTGGAAATTCTTTAGGTCTAGGGCAAATGTCACATCTTACCTCACTAATGCTATGGTCTATCGGCTCTTCCTAGAGCCATAACTCTTGTGTGTGAGGAGGCTTTTTTATTTTTGTACCAGTGCTGGGGTTTAAACTCAGGACCTAGATGTGGTCCCCTGAGCTTTGAGCTTTTTTTCTGGCCAACACTTGTGCCCAAACCACTTGAGCTATAGCTGCTTCTGCTTCTTCTTCTTTCTTCTTTCTTCTTCTTTTTCTTCTTCTTCTTCTT